TGACTGACATGGCCCTGAGTCAGTAGCAATTGTGCCAAAGTGAATGATATTGTCAAGGATTGTTCTGGATTAGTGGCAGCAAAATCCTGCATTAAAAAATTTTAACATAATGTAAAAAATTCCATTTACATTTGTTTATTTTTTTATGAATTGGTTCTAATAAAAACAGGATGACAAGACTGTTACATGATTATCTACATAAAATTTAATTCATATATGTCTGAATATCATGTGATAATGGCTTAATTTATTTCTAAGAAACTTTGTACCGGTACATATATTCAGGAAAGACCTGGAAAGGATATAGACTACTTTTCAATTCACATGTCTGACTGCCCATCTGTTCGTTCAAGTATCATGTGAGAATGGCTAAACCAATTTTTATGAAACTTTGTACATATATACATTCGTAGCAAAATTTATGCAGTACTACTAAATGTATTACCATTGCTATTTACACCTGTTTCAGATTGTCAATGTAATTTCTTTTGGTTTAAAATTGTTTTTGTTAAAAATTATAAGTTTATTTTAATTACATATTCTCTTTCACATATACACTTTTATATGAGCATCTGCCTTAATATGTAATTTTCCAGAGTAAAACAGAGTACTTCATTTAGTTATTAATAAATATAGCAAATTATAGTACAGTGGAACATCTTTATTCGTCATTAATCTGTTCCTAAGGACCTAACAAATATGGAATAAGACAAATATAGAAACAATTTTTCTTATAATAAATAACTGATATTGAATTAATCCATTCCCATCCTAAAAAAAAGGTACAAGAATAAAAATTATGTTGTTTGTAAAACTTTATTGTACTAAATAAATACAGTATAGTAGTAGAAAGGGAAGAAGAGTAAGGTTATTATTATTTAGAAGAAGACATACCATCAATTAAAACATTAGGGTCCAATTATGATTATGGGGTCTGTTTTGCCAATGATTCAGTAGCACTCAATTTAATAATGAACTTGTCCAGTGTTGACTGTTTTTGTCTGCTTTTTCAAATTTTTCTGAAATAGGCAATTACATTATCATTGAATGCATTTGTATTTTGGTTGACTATAGCAGCATTTGGGTTTAATCACTTTTTAACCATATTTTGCACTTTGACCCAATAAGTCAGCATTTCATTAATATCAGCAATAGGTATGGATCCTTTACTTGACTCTTCCTCTCCGGATGAAATCACCTCCATCATTTCAGTTTCTTGGCCTTTATGAAGTTCCAACAGTTCTCTGTGGTGAGTTCCCTTGCATGCTCCACAACAAATTCCTCTACATCCTCACAATCAACATTCAAACCCATTGACCTTCCCAGACACACAATTTCTTCAACAACAGATTGTGATTCAAAATCCTGAATGTCTATTTCTGGCAAACATTCTGGCCATAATTTCTTCCAGGCCGAGATCATTACCTTGGATGACACTTCTTTTCATGTCTTATGATCTTTCCAAAATTCTCTTAGTGTAAGTTTGCTTCCCAATGTCACTTCAAAACACCTTTGAAACAGAGCTTTAGTGTACAGTTTTTTAAAACAGGCAATGACCTGCTGATCTATTGGCTGGATTAGAAGGGTTGAGTTAGCAGGTAGATATTTAACTTCAATAAAGCTAAGATCCTCTTCCTTCAAAAGGTCTTGCAAATCTGGAGGATGAGAAGGAGCATTATCCAAAACCAAGAGGACCTTCACAGGTAAATTAAGGCTTTCTAAATAAGCTTTCACACATGGGGCAAAGACTGCATAGATCCACTCCAAGAAAAACTGTCTTGTAACCCAAGCATTACTGTTTGACCTCCACATCACATTTAGGTGATTTTTTTTTGTTATTCTTCTTAAAAACTCTTTGAGTTTTCTGAATGGTACACCAGTAGTGGTTTGATTTTGCAGTCACCACTAGCGTTACCACACAGCATGAGTGTTAACCTATCTTTCATTGGCTTGTGTCCAGGCAGTGCATTTTCCTCTTTTGTGATGTAGATTCTTTCAGGCGTCTTCTTCAAAAATAGGCTTGTCTCATCACAATTAAAAATTTGTTGAGGACTAAATCCCTCAGTGTATAATACTTTCTGAAATCTTCGAATTGTTCAGCACCTTCTGCATTTCAGCTAGAAACCTTGCCATGCCTAATTACAGAGTGAATGCCTGTTCATCTTTTAAATTTTTCAAACCAGCCCCTACTTGTCATAAACTGACCACTGGTTCCTGGACTCTTGCTGTAGGTCATCATATAACTTCTTAAATTTTTCATGGATGATTGCTTCTGAAATACTATCATCAGCCATTTGCTTCTCAGTAATTCACAACAATAAGAGCTTTTCCATGTTTTCAATCATTTGTGATATCCTAGCAGCAAAGATTTTGACCCTTTCACATCAGCTATTTTAATCACCTCTTTATTTTTATTATGCTGCATATGATAGTTCTTGGCATACTAAATTTTTTGGCTAAGTTGGAAACACTTTGTCCATTTTTAGACTTAGCAATAACTTTTTTTTTTACCTCTACCGTTGTTCTAACACCTTTCCTTTCTTGCTGTTTCTCTTCAGTGTGCTTTGTTGGGGCCATTGAAACTTGAGTTTTTGAAAATAACACAAGAAACCAAGAACACACACAACTTCCCCACAAAGCAGATTGACTAACTACATCTAGCTAACAGTGTTGCCAACTCAAAATTTAAATTTATAACTAGACATTTTAATAAAAATATTCAAATCATATTGTTTCCATTAAAATTGATTTTTTTATAGCTAGATAGCATTATAAAAATAGCTAGGCCATTATGATTTAGGTACTTTGCATAGCTGGATTGTTCATAAATCCACTAAATCTAGCAAAAAATTAGCTAAATTGGCAGCACTAATCTAACACAGTAGCTTATCGGTGCAGGCGTGCAATTGTAGCACCACTGGTGGTGTTGGAAATGACAATGAATACAGAAAATACTGACGAATATGGAGAAAAAGAAAGGTTATCAAAATATGACAAATATTGAATATTATGAATATAGAGGTTCCACTGTATATCCAGTATCAGAACTCTTTTTTGTTTTTTATGAATTCTTGTTATAAACAAATGATAATCTTTAGTATAATATCTAAATCAAATAATCTCAGTATTTCAATTTCTTTGAAGTAGTTTATGAAATATTAAAAAGTTGCTCTAGTAAAACTGGAAAGTAGGAAGTTATTCTATATCTAATGTGTTTCATTTTATGTTATGCCTGCATTCTACTGCAGTTAAACAGTTTTATGATTTTTATCATAAATTTTCAGTGCAATCTAATGAGCACTTAATCTTAACAGTTCATTACAATAAATTCACTGTTTATTTTCATTATTGTTATACTTTTATATGGTAATATTTTTAATGTAAAATATACAGTTTAATTATAACATTTTCATTACTACACATTAATATAAACCAGCAATGAGTTGCTCAATTTTTCCAGCAACATTTAAAATTTTGATGGCACCATCTGTTATCATATTTTATTAAAAAATCTTTTCATATTTTTAACTATTATAAAATGGCAAAAAGCTTAATTTTGAGGATAAGGATGGGTTTTTATAAAAAATTGTAAATGCTAATAATGAGTAAAATCATCATTAAGTCTGACTCTACTGGAGATACACACGACCCCATTATCTCTCCACCCCTCTCAATCTTTAAAATTTCATAGCATCAATCCACCCTAAATTTCATACCAAAATTCACACCAAAATTTCATAGCATCAATCCACCCTAATACACAAACCTCCCTCCAAAGTTTCAGAAATTTTCAAAAAAAGCAGGAGTTATTAAGCTTTGAACAAGAAGAATAAAATCATGATACACATACACATCCATACATACAGAAATTACCCCCCAAATTTTTTTGCATTTCTCAATGTTTCGAGGTGTCCTAAGTCTAAAAATGTCAAAATTGGGGGGAATCATCTTTTCACCAATTGCTATACTTTCCCTCTGTTGTACAGGGTGGGCCAAAAATGACAGATGTTTTTGAAATGATGAGAACTCACAACCATGTGGAGTGACAGATGTGTGGCAGGAGGCAAGAAGGTAGTAGGTAAGGTCTTAGCATTGTCTTTTCAGTTGAAGGCATGGAACTGTGGACGATAGAACACCGTGTGTTTGTGTATGACTGAGAAAACAGTCGTACACAAAGGGGATCGCTCAGTTGTTCACGTCTGATGGGAATATGTTTCTGCAACCTTGCATATGATGGAAACATGTGTGTGGTTTCAACAGGATGGGGCGACTGCCCACATAGCTAGAACATAAATTGATGTTATTTGTCATCTCTTCCCTGATCGCCTCATTTCCAGGTTGGGTGACATTCATTGGCCTCCTCATTTGCCTGACCTATCCACATTCAATTATTTCTTATAGGGATACCTCAAGGCATGTGTATATGGGCATAAGCCCTGTTCTCTGCAAGCACTGAAGAAAGCTATTTGCATGGAAGTTGCCAAAATCACCCCCAGAAATGTATCACTGATAACAGACACCAAATGGAAGATGTTTTCCAGACTTTATTCCGTAAAATGCTAGTTTAATACAAACTCACATCTTCCAACAAATATCTTTTGTGGTAACAATTACAGATGTGAGTTTTTAAAAAACATCCATACTTTCTTCTTCACTGTATATAACAGCTGGAAAGTAAAAGATACAGTTTATACATAGTTTCTAATGGTATTATTAAACAAATTTATTTGTTGCATTATTGTTTACAAACACTTAATGAGGTCACCAACCTCATTATGTGTTTTGAACTTATTTATAAACTTATTATTCATAACTGAAATTTATAATGTTTGTATCATGCTAAAAATATGGAATGATACTGAAACATGCAACATACTCTATTTTATCTATCATTTGGAAAAATTTTTTAGAATTATTTGAAAGGATTGGAAACAAGTTAAAATTTTTCCCACAAAGATAATAGAAAACTTTCCAACATTTTAACTGTTTTTAGAAATACATTAAAAAATGGGATAAGCAATATTCATAACTATTGAAATACCTCTCTTTTTATTGCATGAAGTTCTACAAAATNAAAAAAAAAAAAAAAAAAAAAAAAAAAAAAAAAAAAAACAGCATTCAATAAAATATGCTTTTAGCTTTATGAAGTCAATCTGTAAATCTTATGATTCAGTTCATAAAAAGACTGTTTCAAGAAATGATTTTCTTTCAAAAGTTTAATTCAAAAACAATATTGAATGATAGACATAAGATTTCTATCACTTTTGTTTCTACTTAAAATATGCAATTTTTTTTAAATAAAATGTAATCCAAAATTATTTTAAATTACCTATGTACACACACAAAATTTATGTATGTATTTATTTACTAATGATCATAAAAATTTCAATTTCATTAACCTTTTTTCTTTTTCCTTTTCTTCTTAACTAAACCTTCTGCTGCAGTTGTCTTTACTGTTGGTGAAGGTTCACTTTTACCAGATTTTTTTACATATTTTGTACCCATACTCCAGCTGGTTGTCTCTAAATTGTCAACAGAAACTGAATCAGACACATCACCCAATGATGGCAATTCATGACTAACTCTGTTTATAGCATTAAGAAACTATTAACTAATTTTTAGAAGTATAAAAAATAATAGCAGCAATTAATAAAATATAAACTAAATTATAAAGGATACTCTTTTGCTTTAATGGGATCAAACTGAGAATAAGCTGAAATTAAACGAGCTAAAATCTTAGCATTATGAGGATCTGACCTGAAAAAGATTTTTATACATAATTAATGTAATATTTGCCATTATCATAATACAATTATTTTATAAGAAATAGATAGTTAAAGAAATATTTTCAAACAATTATTTCATAACTTTTTAATTTGAAATAATTATTTCTTAAAGACAAATATATTAATTGGTCTATCTATTTTTTAAATTTACAATAAAAATATGTATTTCAATTTAATATTTAACCATTTTCTTAAAGTTCTACATTAAAATATATTTTTTTTTACAAATGTTATGCATACAATAAACAATTACATTTCATTTAATAAGAAATCATATATGCATTCTTTGTCATATAAAATCTAGATAAAAGAATTATAAATATTAAATCTTCATAATTATTTGAATATCTTTTTATAAATGAAATCATTGTATTTCAAAAAACAAAAATTAAATCATAAACTTATTTTCTTAATTACTTTTTAAAAATATTCATAATTTTTTTGAAAATCTTAATTCTAAAATCAATAAGTGAATATTTAAATATTTTAACATATCTTTAAACTAATAATGTAAAATTTTATAATATTTAATTTTATTCAAGTACACTTTTAATCTATCTTATTTTAACGTAATAAAAAATTTTTTCCTATAGAATTTTTTTCTGAAACAAATTTCTATCAAATTAGAAATTAGTATTTATGGTGAAAATTATCTTAGTACTGAATGATTAAACAAACTACAGATACAATTTAATGAAATGATTTTAATGTAGAGGACGTGGTTGCTGTATCATCAAATGCAGTGTGTAGTGTCTTTGTAATCCAAAACGATAATTGGTAGATGAACGAACAGCAATTGGTTAGAATACGTTACGTTTTATTTAAAAATTGTTAAATAAAACGTACCGTTTTCTAACCAATTGCTGTTCGTTCATCTACCAATTATCGTTTTGGATTACAAAGACGCTACACACTGCATGAAATGATTTTATTTTACTTTGTTAGTTTATTTTATTTTATATTGCAATTTATATAACTGTAAAATATATAAAAATTCTAGTGCAATAGTTAGGCTTATAATAAAATTTTTATTTTAAAAATATACATTTAAAATTTATAGGATGTGTCTGTAAATGTGTTGAAAAGTAAACAGTAAATAAGATAAAATCACCTTTGCAATATATACTTTTAAGAAAGAAGAAATAAAAAAACATAAATATTGTATATACATGCTACATTATTTTTCCATTGTAATTGTGCAAAATTAAATGCAGAATAAAAATTCAATATGAAGATAATATTTTAAAACTGTTTTTATTTACCACATTTCTGTGCATATAAAGATATGTTCTTATAGATGGGACAAAATTAGCCCTACATTCTGCAAAGTACCTAAAAACTTACCATTTTAAAAAATGTTTATATTATTGGAAGCATTTATTTTTATTTGATTATTTTTAATAACAGTTACAACAGAAATGTCACTGAATAGTTATTATATCAGTATATTTACATTAACATAGCAGTGCAGTGCTTTTATAAGCCAAAACAAGCAAGGTATGGTCTATAAGATAAACAAGGCTTGTGTTTAAAATAAAAAAATGATTTTCATATATAGTATGGAAATGTGGTATGCAAACAAACTTATACTAATAAAGAATTAACAAGAATTTTCCAAAAGATTTCACTAAAATCAATATCATTAAAACTTATACTATATTAGAATTTTAAAGTTTGATCATCATTGTATAAAATTTTATAAATAAATTTTTTGATTTTTAAAAACTTTAAAGTTTAATACGTGTACATTTATATTAGCATTCCATAATAATTTTAATACAAATTAAAAATTTGTTAAAATGTTTACTATGTTATATGGTAATATCTTATTGAAAACTTATTGTTATTAATTTTATTTAGAGATATTAAAAGAAACATACTTTCTCATTTCTTCTAACAACATTGCTGCTCCTTCTGGTTGTCCACACTTTAATAAAAATTCAGCATATTGTTGACTTAAAATAGTCATTTCTTGGCTCTGTAACTAAAGATGAAATGTGGCATCAATTATCATAAATTATTTAAATTAGTAATGTTACAGTTATTAAGAGAAGATAACTGTATTATTTCCAATAAAAGTTTCAAAGAATGTTAATGCAAAATAAATAGAGCTTCATTATTACATTCATTTTATTTGATATTTATTATTGATTATTGTCAAAAAACTGAAATATGTTGCAAAAGTCAATTCATATCATGTCAATTTTTTATATTAATTAATTTAATAGAATAAGAAATACCTAGAAAAGTCTGGTGTTTAACTATCAATTAAAATTAAAATATAAATTTATTGAAATTTAAATATTTTTTATACATAAATAAATTTGTATAATAGCTTGTTTTGAAGGTTTTTTTACTCACATTATTTTTCTTGTACCAATTAATAGATTCTTTGAAAACATTAATAGCAGTATCTCTATCTTCCAGGCTTAAATATAATGTGACTAATGCTGACACCTATAATAATTATGTTATTAATATTTAAATATTTTTATAAATACTAATTTAATAAAGAAAAGGATGAAAGTACCATACCACTCCAGGTTTATGAGAAATTTCACCCAGAGAACGTAGTATGTCACAAGCCTGACTGACATGGCCCTGAGTCAGTAGCAATTGTGCCAAAGTGAATGATATTGTCAAGGATTGTTCTGGATTAGTGGCAGCAAAATCCTGCATTAAAAAATTTTAACATAATGTAAAAAATTCCATTTACATTTGTTTATTTTTTTATGAATTGGTTCTAATAAAAACAGGATGACAAGACTGTTACATGATTATCTACATAAAATTTAATTCATATATGTCTGAATATCATGTGATAATGGCTTAATTTATTTCTAAGAAACTTTGTACCGGTACATATATTCAGGAAAGACCTGGAAAGGATATAGACTACTTTTCAATTCACATGTCTGACTGCCCATCTGTTCGTTCAAGTATCATGTGAGAATGGCTAAACCAATTTTTATGAAACTTTATACANAAAAGACTAATTTAATTATTAGATATAAAGTAATTTGTCTGTAGAAAGATGGTTAGGTTGCTAATGATAAATTTAATAATTAGAAATAAATTTTACTTTAAATTTAAATTATTCTAGAACTGAAGAGTTGCCAGAGCAGCCTCAAACAACTTCTGTTTACAATGTAGTTACTTTTTACATTTATGCTAACTGGACTCTCATATGATATTCATTTCAAGAGCTACTAATTATTTAACTAATTTATACTGGTCACCCACATGTACGGCAGTATCCTGATAAATAATCTGGTAGTTCATTTGGTATTACTAATTGAATTAGATTGCTGTACACATTATTATAATATTGAAGAAATTATCACCATAAAAAAAATGTAAAATGATATTTTAAATATTCTTATATAGAATTTCCAACATAACTAACAAAGTGTAAGATCTCTTATACCATTAGATAAGTGGTAAGAGTACTGATACAAATAAATATCATATAGTGAAATAATGATATCCTAATTTAATGAAAAAATTGCTTAAATTCATTATTCTGAATTNAAAAGTTAGCGCCACACTCAAATTTATCTGTTATGAGATTAAAAAAACTTTTTATATTAATTATTATAAAATACAAAAATCTTAATTTTGAGGGTAGAAGTGTTATAAAAGTTTGAAAGAAAAATGCAAATGCTAATAACGAGTGAAATCTTCATTAAGTCCGACCCCACTCGAGATATGACACTTAATTAACATACGTAATACACATTTCAATGATAAATACAGAATGTGAATGTAGTAGAATGAGATTATAATAAAAGCTACACACTGCGAATGAAAACATTAACTTACATTAAAAAAAAGGTAGACGTGGTAAGGGTATTTTACACATGCTACTTTTAATGTAGTTTAAAATACTCCTGTATTTAATAAAATAATAATTAATAGAACTTAAATGGAATTCTTTACGTAAACTTATAATGGGAATCCGAAATCCGATGTATTGTCGTTACTATTTGTTTTGTTTTTTTAAGAAGAATTTCTGTGCAAGGTATAATACGTTAAGATATGCTGGGTCAAAAAAAAGAAAAAAGATGGGTATTTTTAAAAATTTGGCAGGGAGAACTTCGCCGTATTTCGAATGTTGAGTAGACGATAATCTTTAACCTCTGAAATCTCCCGTTCTAAGAACTTTAAAATTTGGCCTCTGTCACAACACGCCATTTTATTAGCAAAATTTCGTCCGAGTCGTTACTTCACAAGGATTGTCAATTTGAGTCGCTACCAAGCTTCCTTGCTAGCGACCACGTTTCTCTGACAAGTCGTACAGAGCTGCAGACAATTCTCGTAAAGTAAGCCATTGAAAAGTGTTTTAACTAATAACGGGTGCTTTTTTAGAGGTGTAGAACTCATTGATTTTCAAAGCAGGAAATCTTTGAAAACTTATCATAGAGAACATCCCGTTCTTAAATTTTATAAAGTTCATTCTTACAATAAATATGATAAAATTGTCAATTTATCTAGAAAACTGTTATGCATGTGTACATACTGTTGTAAACAATTCTTTTCGTGCATAAAAACATTGAAACTGCTGAAAGAAATAGGTCGAGTGACTCCCATTTAACTAACATTCTTAGAATTAAAACTTGTACCATAAAAGCAGATATTAACATTATTATAAAAGGAAGATAATGTCAAAAATCGCATTGAATTTATATTTTGTGTGAGTATAATTTCTTTTTATTGTAAACTAGCTGTTACCCGACTTCGCCCGCACGGATTTTGCAAGCAAACCCCATTTATATTCAATGTTTCAACAATCATAGTAATTAGAGAGGTTGCCGCTGACGTTTTCATCGCGAAAACGTGTACGGCGGACGTTCATCGCCGGCTTCCTGTAAGCCTAGAAGTTTGACAATGGCGTTTGGAATGTCAGTGGAATCAAGCTCGCCGTATCAAACGCCATTGTCAAACTTCTAGGCTTACAGGAAGGAGCTGAATGTCCGCCGTACACGTTTTCGCGATGAAAATGTCAGCCGCAACTTCTCCATTGTCTACACGTAGTTGAAAACAAAAAAAAAATCGCATCTAAAATAATACAGTAGAAGCCGTTCTTCCGGTTAATCCTTAATGTTCTCCCTCTCCCCCCGCGGGGGAAATTTCGAAAAATCCCTTCTTAGTGTGCATTCTCGTGACATACACTACTAAAACGAAGTTAAAAACAAAAAATCGCGTTTTTGCTATTTTTCCACTTGATGTTTAAAATAATATAAATAAGAATGCTGGATTCCCGAATACTTTTAAGACTACCAGATTTAGAAGTATGGGTCAGTGAGGGAAATCACAGAGAGGGAAATCAAAATTTCAAAATATTTTACTTTTTGAAAATTCCTTAGAAAATCATTTCAGTATACTGTATCACACTACAGAAGGCCACTATATTGAATACATGCCATATTGTTAGAAAATTCCTATTTAATTTTTGTTTTGTTTTGATTTCTATTCATTGATTCTGGTCCAGCATAGTACACAGCAATCAGTGTCAACTGAGTATAACCCACTAAACCCAACATAATAATAACAATAAACAATAAAATATGATAATATCTTAACCTCAAGTTTGTTTATATTTAATTTTACAAATAAAAAAATGTAATTTTTTATTTATGTTTGTAAATGTTGTATTATAAATTTAAATTATTTTGAAATGCTGCAAAGTAATCTTTTAAAATTCTAAAAAGTAAAAAAAGAAAGTAAAATAAAAATTTTAAAAATTCAGAATTTTCTTTAAAATTTGTTAAACTGCTTTAAAGATATGTAAATGATTTTATCTTTAAACCCAATGTTGAAGTTATGAGTAATAATTTCATGATTGATTCATACTAGTCTTTCTTGAATAGAGAAAGATAAGATGTCATATTTTCTAGGAAAATTTTTTTGATATCAAGTTTCTGAAAAAATTTATTTTGTTGTTTTATATTACAGATCAAAATTAGCAAATACATATTAAAAACGAATTGAAATTAAACTAAAAATTCTTTTATTCTTGGACAAACCCTGTATAATACAATGAATTCTTTGAATAAGAACTCATTTATTAAACAATTTGTTTATCATCATCATATAAAGACTTGTTTGTTACAAATGTTAAATCCTTTTACAAACCAAAAAAAATAAAATAAAATTCTTTTTCATCTATTAAATATTAATATTTGTTATTTACATATTGTTGGAAGCTAAATGATGTTAAGCCATAGATCATAGAATGGGAACTTTTGTGTTAAAAATTATTTTAATAGAACAATGGATTTACACTTCAAGATATATTTAATTTGTTTTCTTTTTACCAACGACCTTTTTTCTTCTTTTTCTTCTGAACAGGTTGTGGTCTTTGTTGGCGTGGTCCATGAGGATTAGGAGAAACTGGTACAGTAGGTGTTGTGGTAGTAGTGGTGGTAGTACGTGTTGTAACCACGGGTTTGGAAAGATCCCTGAAAAAGAACATTTTTTAAAAATCACTAATGTTAAAATAATATATAGATATCATTTCAAGTTGAAATTTCTTACATATCACCACTTCCAGCAACAGTTCCCTGAGTACCTTTACCTATAATTTGTTAAAAAGTAGATATAAAAAGTCAATACTAATTCAATAACAGCATTTGTTTATATTTAAGAAAAATACTTACCAACACCTCCTCCCCTCCTGTCTTTGCGGCGTTTGAATGCTGCCCGTTCTCGTTTTGGAAGCCACCGTTCTGGATCTGGATCAACATTTGGATCATATGATTTTGGTAATTTTCCTAATAAGAAATCAAAAATGAGAGCAAAATGAAAGTGTCTGCAAATCTTGTGAAAATTTTAATTATTCCATAAAACTAAAATAATTTATTTATTGTTGCAACAATATTGAAGTATTCCTATATTCTAAATACAAAAATATTGTAATTGTTTTTATATTATAACAGAATAATTATAATGCAACAATAAAAAGCTACATGTAATCACTTAATGTTAATTTTCTCCTATAACCATTTCAATACTAAAATAATATAAATGTTGGAAATAATTTACTTAAAAACACACACAAACAATAATAAAAATTATTGTATTTTATCATTATTTCTTTTATTTTTACATTATTTTCAATGCTAATCTATCTTGAATAATATACTAAAACTACTGTTCAGCTATTACTTACCTGTATTTAAAAAAAAAAAAAAAAAAAAAAACAGCATTCAATAAAATATGCTTTTAGCTTTATGAAGTCAATCTGTAAATCTTATGATTCAGTTCATAAAAAGACTGTTTCAAGAAATGATTTTCTTTCAAAAGTTTAATTCAAAAACAATATTGAATGATAGACATAAGATTTCTATCACTTTTGTTTCTACTTAAAATATGCAATTTTTTTTAAATAAAATGTAATCCAAAATTATTTTAAATTACCTATGTACACACACAAAATTTATGTATGTATTTATTTACTAATGATCATAAAAATTTCAATTTCATTAACCTTTTTTCTTTTTCCTTTTCTTCTTAACTAAACCTTCTGCTGCAGTTGTCTTTACTGTTGGTGAAGGTTCACTTTTACCAGATTTTTTTACATATTTTGTACCCATACTCCAGCTGGTTGTCTCTAAATTGTCAACAGAAACTGAATCAGACACATCACCCAATGATGGCAATTCATGACTAACTCTGTTTATAGCATTAAGAAACTATTAACTAATTTTTAGAAGTATAAAAAATAATAGCAGCAATTAATAAAATATAAACTAAATTATAAAGGATACTCTTTTGCTTTAATGGGATCAAACTGAGAATAAGCTGAAATTAAACGAGCTAAAATCTTAGCATTATGAGGATCTGACCTGAAAAAGATTTTTATACATAATTAATGTAATATTTGCCATTATCATAATACAATTATTTTATAAGAAATAGATAGTTAAAGAAATATTTTCAAACAATTATTTCATAACTTTTTAATTTGAAATAATTATTTCTTAAAGACAAATATATTAATTGGTCTATCTATTTTTTAAATTTACAATAAAAATATGTATTTCAATTTAATATTTAACCATTTTCTTAAAGTTCTACATTAAAATATATTTTTTTTTACAAATGTTATGCATACAATAAACAATTACATTTCATTTAATAAGAAATCATATATGCATTCTTTGTCATATAAAATCTAGATAAAAGAATTATAAATATTAAATCTTCATAATTATTTGAATATCTTTTTATAAATGAAATCATTGTATTTCAAAAAACAAAAATTAAATCATAAACTTATTTTCTTAATTACTTTTTAAAAATATTCATAATTTTTTTGAAAATCTTAATTCTAAAATCAATAAGTGAATATTTAAATATTTTAACATATCTTTAAACTAATAATGTAAAATTTTATAATATTTAATTTTATTCAAGTACACTTTTAATCTATCTTATTTTAACGTAATAAAAAATTTTTTCCTATAGAATTTTTTTCTGAAACAAATTTCTATCAAATTAGAAATTAGTATTTATGGTGAAAATTATCTTAGTACTGAATGATTAAACAAACTACAGATACAATTTAATGAAATGATTTTAATGTAGAGGACGTGGTTGCTGTATCATCAAATGCAGTGTGTAGTGTCTTTGTAATCCAAAACGATAATTGGTAGATGAACGAACAGCAATTGGTTAGAATACGTTACGTTTTATTTAAAAATTGTTAAATAAAACGTACCGTTTTCTAACCAATTGCTGTTCGTTCATCTACCAATTATCGTTTTGGATTACAAAGACGCTACACACTGCATGAAATGATTTTATTTTACTTTGTTAGTTTATTTTATTTTATATTGCAATTTATATAACTGTAAAATATATAAAAATTCTAGTGCAATAGTTAGGCTTATAATAAAATTTTTATTTTAAAAATATACATTTAAAATTTATAGGATGTGTCTGTAAATGTGTTGAAAAGTAAACAGTAAATAAGATAAAATCACCTTTGCAATATATACTTTTAAGAAAGAAGAAATAAAAAAACATAAATATTGTATATACATGCTACATTATTTTTCCATTGTAATTGTGCAAAATTAAATGCAGAATAAAAATTCAATATGAAGATAATATTTTAAAACTGTTTTTATTTACCACATTTCTGTGCATATAAAGATATGTTCTTATAGATGGGACAAAATTAGCCCTACATTCTGCAAAGTACCTAAAAACTTACCATTTTAAAAAATGTTTATATTATTGGAAGCATTTATTTTTATTTGATTATTTTTAATAACAGTTACAACAGAAATGTCACTGAATAGTTATTATATCAGTATATTTACATTAACATAGCAGTGCAGTGCTTTTATAAGCCAAAACAAGCAAGGTATGGTCTATAAGATAAACAAGGCTTGTGTTTAAAATAAAAAAATGATTTTCATATATAGTATGGAAATGTGGTATGCAAACAAACTTATACTAATAAAGAATTAACAAGAATTTTCCAAAAGATTTCACTAAAATCAATATCATTAAAACTTATACTATATTAGAATTTTAAAGTTTGATCATCATTGTATAAAATTTTATAAATAAATTTTTTGATTTTTAAAAACTTTAAAGTTTAATACGTGTACATTTATATTAGCATTCCATAATAATTTTAATACAAATTAAAAATTTGTTAAAATGTTTACTATGTTATATGGTAATATCTTATTGAAAACTTATTGTTATTAATTTTATTTAGAGATATTAAAAGAAACATACTTTCTCATTTCTTCTAACAACATTGCTGCTCCTTCTGGTTGTCCACACTTTAATAAAAATTCAGCATATTGTTGACTTAAAATAGTCATTTCTTGGCTCTGTAACTAAAGATGAAATGTGGCATCAATTATCATAAATTATTTAAATTAGTAATGTTACAGTTATTAAGAGAAGATAACTGTATTATTTCCAATAAAAGTTTCAAAGAATGTTAATGCAAAATAAATAGAGCTTCATTATTACATTCATTTTATTTGATATTTATTATTGATTATTGTCAAAAAACTGAAATATGTTGCAAAAGTCAATTCATATCATGTCAATTTTTTATATTAATTAATTTAATAGAATAAGAAATACCTAGAAAAGTCTGGTGTTTAACTATCAATTAAAATTAAAATATAAATTTATTGAAATTTAAATATTTTTTATACATAAATAAATTTGTATAATAGCTTGTTTTGAAGGTTTTTTTACTCACATTATTTTTCTTGTACCAATTAATAGATTCTTTGAAAACATTAATAGCAGTATCTCTATCTTCCAGGCTTAAATATAATGTGACTAATGCTGACACCTATAATAATTATGTTATTAATATTTAAATATTTTTATAAATACTAATTTAATAAAGAAAAGGATGAAAGTACCATACCACTCCAGGTTTATGAGAAATTTCACCCAGAGAACGTAGTATGTCACAAGCCTGACTGACATGGCCCTGAGTCAGTAGCAATTGTGCCAAAGTGAATGATATTGTCAAGGATTGTTCTGGATTAGTGGCAGCAAAATCCTGCATTAAAAAATTTTAACATAATGTAAAAAATTCCATTTACATTTGTTTATTTTTTTATGAATTGGTTCTAATAAAAACAGGATGACAAGACTGTTACATGATTATCTACATAAAATTTAATTCATATATGTCTGAATATCATGTGATAATGGCTTAATTTATTTCTAAGAAACTTTGTACCGGTACATATATTCAGGAAAGACCTGGAAAGGATATAGACTACTTTTCAATTCACATGTCTGACTGCCCATCTGTTCGTTCAAGTATCATGTGAGAATGGCTAAACCAATTTTTATGAAACTTTGTACATATATACATTCGTAGCAAAATTTATGCAGTACTACTAAATGTATTACCATTGCTATTTACACCTGTTTCAGATTGTCAATGTAATTTCTTTTGGTTTAAAATTGTTTTTGTTAAAAATTATAAGTTTATTTTAATTACATATTCTCTTTCACATATACACTTTTATATGAGCATCTGCCTTAATATATAATTTTCCAGAGTAAAACAGAGTACTTCATTTAGTTATTAATAAATATAGCAAATTATAGTACAGTGGAACATCTTTATTCGTCATTAATCTGTTCCTAAGGACCTAACAAATATGGAATAAGACAAATATAGAAACAATTTTTCTTATAATAAATAACTGATATTGAATTAATCCATTCCCATCCTAAAAAAAAGGTACAAGAATAAAAATTATGTTGTTTGTAAAACTTTATTGTACTAAATAAATACAGTATAGTAGTAGAAAGGGAAGAAGAGTAAGGTTATTATTATTTAGAAGAAGACATACCATCAATTAAAACATTAGGGTCCAATTATGATTATGGGGTCTGTTTTGCCAATGATTCAGTAGCACTCAATTTAATAATGAACTTGTCCAGTGTTGACTGTTTTTGTCTGCTTTTTCAAATTTTTCTGAAATAGGCAATTACATTATCATTGAATGCATTTGTATTTTGGTTGACTATAGCAGCATTTGGGTTTAATCACTTTTTAACCATATTTTGCACTTTGACCCAATAAGTCAGCATTTCATTAATATCAGCAATAGGTATGGATCCTTTACTTGACTCTTCCTCTCCGGATGAAATCACCTCCATCATTTCAGTTTCTTGGCCTTTATGAAGTTCCAACAGTTCTCTGTGGTGAGTTCCCTTGCATGCTCCACAACAAATTCCTCTACATCCTCACAATCAACATTCAAACCCATTGACCTTCCCAGACACACAATTTCTTCAACAACAGATTGTGATTCAAAATCCTGAATGTCTATTTCTGGCAAACATTCTGGCCATAATTTCTTCCAGGCCGAGATCATTACCTTGGATGACACTTCTTTTCATGTCTTATGATCTTTCCAAAATTCTCTTAGTGTAAGTTTGCTTCCCAATGTCACTTCAAAACACCTTTGAAACAGAGCTTTAGTGTACAGTTTTTTAAAACAGGCAATGACCTGCTGATCTATTGGCTGGATTAGAAGGGTTGAGTTAGCAGGTAGATATTTAACTTCAATAAAGCTAAGATCCTCTTCCTTCAAAAGGTCTTGCAAATCTGGAGGATGAGAAGGAGCATTATCCAAAACCAAGAGGACCTTCACAGGTAAATTAAGGCTTTCTAAATAAGCTTTCACACATGGGGCAAAGACTGCATAGATCCACTCCAAGAAAAACTGTCTTGTAACCCAAGCATTACTGTTTGACCTCCACATCACATTTAGGTGATTTTTTTTTGTTATTCTTCTTAAAAACTCTTTGAGTTTTCTGAATGGTACACCAGTAGTGGTTTGATTTTGCAGTCACCACTAGCGTTACCACATAGCATGAGTGTTAACCTATCTTTCATTGGCTTGTGTCCAGGCAGTGCATTTTCCTCTTTTGTGATGTAGATTCTTTCAGGCGTCTTCTTCAAAAATAGGCTTGTCTCATCACAATTAAAAATTTGTTGAGGACTAAATCCCTCAGTGTATAATACTTTCTGAAATCTTCGAATTGTTCAGCACCTTCTGCATTTCAGCTAGAAACCTTGCCATGCCTAATTACAGAGTGAATGCCTGTTCATCTTTTAAATTTTTCAAACCAGCCCCTACTTGTCATAAACTGACCACTGGTTCCTGGACTCTTGCTGTAGGTCATCATATAACTTCTTAAATTTTTCATGGATGATTGCTTCTGAAATACTATCATCAGCCATTTGCTTCTCAGTAATTCACAACAATAAGAGCTTTTCCATGTTTTCAATCATTTGTGATATCCTAGCAGCAAAGATTTTGACCCTTTCACATCAGCTATTTTAATCACCTCTTTATTTTTATTATGCTGCATATGATAGTTCTTGGCATACTAAATTTTTTGGCTAAGTTGGAAACACTTTGTCCATTTTTAGACTTAGCAATAACTTTTTTTTTTACCTCTACCGTTGTTCTAACACCTTTCCTTTCTTGCTGTTTCTCTTCAGTGTGCTTTGTTGGGGCCATTGAAACTTGAGTTTTTGAAAATAACACAAGAAACCAAGAACACACACAACTTCCCCACAAAGCAGATTGACTAACTACATCTAGCTAACAGTGTTGCCAACTCAAAATTTAAATTTATAACTAGACATTTTAATAAAAATATTCAAATCATATTGTTTCCATTAAAATTGATTTTTTTATAGCTAGATAGCATTATAAAAATAGCTAGGCCATTATGATTTAGGTACTTTGCATAGCTGGATTGTTCATAAATCCACTAAATCTAGCAAAAAATTAGCTAAATTGGCAGCACTAATCTAACACAGTAGCTTATCGGTGCAGGCGTGCAATTGTAGCACCACTGGTGGTGTTGGAAATGACAATGAATACAGAAAATACTGACGAATATGGAGNAACAAAAAATCGCATCTAAAATAATACAGTAGAAGCCGTTCTTCCGGTTAATCCTTAATGTTCTCCCTCTCCCCCCGCGGGGGAAATTTCGAAAAATCCCTTCTTAGTGTGCATTCTCGTGACATACACTACTAAAACGAAGTTAAAAACAAAAAATCGCGTTTTTGCTATTTTTCCACTTGATGTTTAAAATAATATAAATAAGAATGCTGGATTCCCGAATACTTTTAAGACTACCAGATTTAGAAGTATGGGTCAGTGAGGGAAATCACAGAGAGGGAAATCAAAATTTCAAAATATTTTACTTTTTGAAAATTCCTTAGAAAATCATTTCAGTATACTGTATCACACTACAGAAGGCCACTATATTGAATACATGCCATATTGTTAGAAAATTCCTATTTAATTTTTGTTTTGTTTTGATTTCTATTCATTGATTCTGGTCCAGCATAGTACACAGCAATCAGTGTCAACTGAGTATAACCCACTAAACCCAACATAATAATAACAATAAACAATAAAATATGATAATATCTTAACCTCAAGTTTGTTTATATTTAATTTTACAAATAAAAAAATGTAATTTTTTATTTATGTTTGTAAATGTTGTATTATAAATTTAAATTATTTTGAAATGCTGCAAAGTAATCTTTTAAAATTCTAAAAAGTAAAAAAAGAAAGTAAAATAAAAATTTTAAAAATTCAGAATTTTCTTTAAAATTTGTTAAACTGCTTTAAAGATATGTAAATGATTTTATCTTTAAACCCAATGTTGAAGTTATGAGTAATAATTTCATGATTGATTCATACTAGTCTTTCTTGAATAGAGAAAGATAAGATGTCATATTTTCTAGGAAAATTTTTTTGATATCAAGTTTCTGAAAAAATTTATTTTGTTGTTTTATATTACAGATCAAAATTAGCAAATACATATTAAAAACGAATTGAAATTAAACTAAAAATTCTTTTATTCTTGGACAAACCCTGTATAATACAATGAATTCTTTGAATAAGAACTCATTTATTAAACAATTTGTTTATCATCATCATATAAAGACTTGTTTGTTACAAATGTTAAATCCTTTTACAAACCAAAAAAAATAAAATAAAATTCTTTTTCATCTATTAAATATTAATATTTGTTATTTACATATTGTTGGAAGCTAAATGATGTTAAGCCATAGATCATAGAATGGGAACTTTTGTGTTAAAAATTATTTTAATAGAACAATGGATTTACACTTCAAGATATATTTAATTTGTTTTCTTTTTACCAACGACCTTTTTTCTTCTTTTTCTTCTGAACAGGTTGTGGTCTTTGTTGGCGTGGTCCATGAGGATTAGGAGAAACTGGTACAGTAGGTGTTGTGGTAGTAGTGGTGGTAGTACGTGTTGTAACCACGGGTTTGGAAAGATCCCTGAAAAAGAACATTTTTTAAAAATCACTAATGTTAAAATAATATATAGATATCATTTCAAGTTGAAATTTCTTACATATCACCACTTCCAGCAACAGTTCCCTGAGTACCTTTACCTATAATTTGTTAAAAAGTAGATATAAAAAGTCAATACTAATTCAATAACAGCATTTGTTTATATTTAAGAAAAATACTTACCAACACCTCCTCCCCTCCTGTCTTTGCGGCGTTTGAATGCTGCCCGTTCTCGTTTTGGAAGCCACCGTTCTGGATCTGGATCAACATTTGGATCATATGATTTTGGTAATTTTCCTAATAAGAAATCAAAAATGAGAGCAAAATGAAAGTGTCTGCAAATCTTGTGAAAATTTTAATTATTCCATAAAACTAAAATAATTTATTTATTGTTGCAACAATATTGAAGTATTCCTATATTCTAAATACAAAAATATTGTAATTGTTTTTATATTATAACAGAATAATTATAATGCAACAATAAAAAGCTACATGTAATCACTTAATGTTAATTTTCTCCTATAACCATTTCAATACTAAAATAATATAAATGTTGGAAATAATTTACTTAAAAACACACACAAACAATAATAAAAATTATTGTATTTTATCATTATTTCTTTTATTTTTACATTATTTTCAATGCTAATCTATCTTGAATAATATACTAAAACTACTGTTCAGCTATTACTTACCTGTATTTAAAAAAAAAAAAAAAAAAAAAAANTGGTAATATCTTATTGAAAACTTATTGTTATTAATTTTATTTAGAGATATTAAAAGAAACATACTTTCTCATTTCTTCTAACAACATTGCTGCTCCTTCTGGTTGTCCACACTTTAATAAAAATTCAGCATATTGTTGACTTAAAATAGTCATTTCTTGGCTCTGTAACTAAAGATGAAATGTGGCATCAATTATCATAAATTATTTAAATTAGTAATGTTACAGTTATTAAGAGAAGATAACTGTATTATTTCCAATAAAAGTTTCAAAGAATGTTAATGCAAAATAAATAGAGCTTCATTATTACATTCATTTTATTTGATATTTATTATTGATTATTGTCAAAAAACTGAAATATGTTGCAAAAGTCAATTCATATCATGTCAATTTTTTATATTAATTAATTTAATAGAATAAGAAATACCTAGAAAAGTCTGGTGTTTAACTATCAATTAAAATTAAAATATAAATTTATTGAAATTTAAATATTTTTTATACATAAATAAATTTGTATAATAGCTTGTTTTGAAGGTTTTTTTACTCACATTATTTTTCTTGTACCAATTAATAGATTCTTTGAAAACATTAATAGCAGTATCTCTATCTTCCAGGCTTAAATATAATGTGACTAATGCTGACACCTATAATAATTATGTTATTAATATTTAAATATTTTTATAAATACTAATTTAATAAAGAAAAGGATGAAAGTACCATACCACTCCAGGTTTATGAGAAATTTCACCCAGAGAACGTAGTATGTCACAAGCCTGACTGACATGGCCCTGAGTCAGTAGCAATTGTGCCAAAGTGAATGATATTGTCAAGGATTGTTCTGGATTAGTGGCAGCAAAATCCTGCATTAAAAAATTTTAACATAATGTAAAAAATTCCATTTACATTTGTTTATTTTTTTATGAATTGGTTCTAATAAAAACAGGATGACAAGACTGTTACATGATTATCTACATAAAATTTAATTCATATATGTCTGAATATCATGTGATAATGGCTTAATTTATTTCTAAGAAACTTTGTACCGGTACATATATTCAGGAAAGACCTGGAAAGGATATAGACTACTTTTCAATTCACATGTCTGACTGCCCATCTGTTCGTTCAAGTATCATGTGAGAATGGCTAAACCAATTTTTATGAAACTTTGTACATATATACATTCGTAGCAAAATTTATGCAGTACTACTAAATGTATTACCATTGCTATTTACACCTGTTTCAGATTGTCAATGTAATTTCTTTTGGTTTAAAATTGTTTTTGTTAAAAATTATAAGTTTATTTTAATTACATATTCTCTTTCACATATACACTTTTATATGAGCATCTGCCTTAATATATAATTTTCCAGAGTAAAACAGAGTACTTCATTTAGTTATTAATAAATATAGCAAATTATAGTACAGTGGAACATCTTTATTCGTCATTAATCTGTTCCTAAGGACCTAACAAATATGGAATAAGACAAATATAGAAACAATTTTTCTTATAATAAATAACTGATATTGAATTAATCCATTCCCATCCTAAAAAAAAGGTACAAGAATAAAAATTATGTTGTTTGTAAAACTTTATTGTACTAAATAAATACAGTATAGTAGTAGAAAGGGAAGAAGAGTAAGGTTATTATTATTTAGAAGAAGACATACCATCAATTAAAACATTAGGGTCCAATTATGATTATGGGGTCTGTTTTGCCAATGATTCAGTAGCACTCAATTTAATAATGAACTTGTCCAGTGTTGACTGTTTTTGTCTGCTTTTTCAAATTTTTCTGAAATAGGCAATTACATTATCATTGAATGCATTTGTATTTTGGTTGACTATAGCAGCATTTGGGTTTAATCACTTTTTAACCATATTTTGCACTTTGACCCAATAAGTCAGCATTTCATTAATATCAGCAATAGGTATGGATCCTTTACTTGACTCTTCCTCTCCGGATGAAATCACCTCCATCATTTCAGTTTCTTGGCCTTTATGAAGTTCCAACAGTTCTCTGTGGTGAGTTCCCTTGCATGCTCCACAACAAATTCCTCTACATCCTCACAATCAACATTCAAACCCATTGACCTTCCCAGACACACAATTTCTTCAACAACAGATTGTGATTCAAAATCCTGAATGTCTATTTCTGGCAAACATTCTGGCCATAATTTCTTCCAGGCCGAGATCATTACCTTGGATGACACTTCTTTTCATGTCTTATGATCTTTCCAAAATTCTCTTAGTGTAAGTTTGCTTCCCAATGTCACTTCAAAACACCTTTGAAACAGAGCTTTAGTGTACAGTTTTTTAAAACAGGCAATGACCTGCTGATCTATTGGCTGGATTAGAAGGGTTGAGTTAGCAGGTAGATATTTAACTTCAATAAAGCTAAGATCCTCTTCCTTCAAAAGGTCTTGCAAATCTGGAGGATGAGAAGGAGCATTATCCAAAACCAAGAGGACCTTCACAGGTAAATTAAGGCTTTCTAAATAAGCTTTCACACATGGGGCAAAGACTGCATAGATCCACTCCAAGAAAAACTGTCTTGTAACCCAAGCATTACTGTTTGACCTCCACATCACATTTAGGTGATTTTTTTTTGTTATTCTTCTTAAAAACTCTTTGATTTTTCTGAATGGTACACCAGTAGTGGTTTGATTTTGCAGTCACCACTAGCGTTACCACATAGCATGAGTGTTAACCTATCTTTCATTGGCTTGTGTCCAGGCAGTGCATTTTCCTCTTTTGTGATGTAGATTCTTTCAGGCGTCTTCTTCAAAAATAGGCTTGTCTCATCACAATTAAAAATTTGTTGAGGACTAAATCCCTCAGTGTATAATACTTTCTGAAATCTTCGAATTGTTCAGCACCTTCTGCATTTCAGCTAGAAACCTTGCCATGCCTAATTACAGAGTGAATGCCTGTTCATCTTTTAAATTTTTCAAACCAGCCCCTACTTGTCATAAACTGACCACTGGTTCCTGGACTCTTGCTGTAGGTCATCATATAACTTCTTAAATTTTTCATGGATGATTGCTTCTGAAATACTATCATCAGCCATTTGCTTCTCAGTAATTCACAACAATAAGAGCTTTTCCATGTTTTCAATCATTTGTGATATCCTAGCAGCAAAGATTTTGACCCTTTCACATCAGCTATTTTAATCACCTCTTTATTTTTATTATGCTGCATATGATAGTTCTTGGCATACTAAATTTTTTGGCTAAGTTGGAAACACTTTGTCCATTTTTAGACTTAGCAATAACTTTTTTTTTTACCTCTACCGTTGTTCTAACACCTTTCCTTTCTTGCTGTTTCTCTTCAGTGTGCTTTGTTGGGGCCATTGAAACTTGAGTTTTTGAAAATAACACAAGAAACCAAGAACACACACAACTTCCCCACAAAGCAGATTGACTAACTACATCTAGCTAACAGTGTTGCCAACTCAAAATTTAAATTTATAACTAGACATTTTAATAAAAATATTCAAATCATATTGTTTCCATTAAAATTGATTTTTTTATAGCTAGATAGCATTATAAAAATAGCTAGGCCATTATGATTTAGGTACTTTGCATAGCTGGATTGTTCATAAATCCACTAAATCTAGCAAAAAATTAGCTAAATTGGCAGCACTAATCTAACACAGTAGCTTATCGGTGCAGGCGTGCAATTGTAGCACCACTGGTGGTGTTGGAAATGACAATGAATACAGAAAATACTGACGAATATGGAGAAAAAGAAAGGTTATCAAAATATGACAAATATTGAATATTATGAATATAGAGGTTCCACTGTATATCCAGTATCAGAACTCTTTTTTGTTTTTTATGAATTCTTGTTATAAACAAATGATAATCTTTAGTATAATATCTAAATCAAATAATCTCAGTATTTCAATTTCTTTGAAGTAGTTTATGAAATATTAAAAAGTTGCTCTAGTAAAACTGGAAAGTAGGAAGTTATTCTATATCTAATGTGTTTCATTTTATGTTATGCCTGCATTCTACTGCAGTTAAACAGTTTTATGATTTTTATCATAAATTTTCAGTGCAATCTAATGAGCACTTAATCTTAACAGTTCATTACAATAAATTCACTGTTTATTTTCATTATTGTTATACTTTTATATGGTAATATTTTTAATGTAAAATATACAGTTTAATTATAACATTTTCATTACTACACATTAATATAAACCAGCAATGAGTTGCTCAATTTTTCCAGCAACATTTAAAATTTTGATGGCACCATCTGTTATCATATTTTATTAAAAAATCTTTTCATATTTTTAACTATTATAAAATGGCAAAAAGCTTAATTTTGAGGATAAGGATGGGTTTTTATAAAAAATTGTAAATGCTAATAATGAGTAAAATCATCATTAAGTCTGACTCTACTGGAGATACACACGACCCCATTATCTCTCCACCCCTCTCAATCTTTAAAATTTCATAGCATCAATCCACCCTAAATTTCATACCAAAATTCACACCAAAATTTCATAGCATCAATCCACCCTAATACACAAACCTCCCTCCAAAGTTTCAGAAATTTTCAAAAAAAGCAGGAGTTATTAAGCTTTGAACAAGAAGAATAAAATCATGATACACATACACATCCATACATACAGAAATTACCCCCCAAATTTTTTTGCATTTCTCAATGTTTCGAGGTGTCCTAAGTCTAAAAATGTCAAAATTGGGGGGAATCATCTTTTCACCAATTGCTATACTTTCCCTCTGTTGTACAGGGTGGGCCAAAAATGACAGATGTTTTTGAAATGATGAGAACTCACAACCATGTGGAGTGACAGATGTGTGGCAGGAGGCAAGAAGGTAGTAGGTAAGGTCTTAGCATTGTCTTTTCAGTTGAAGGCATGGAACTGTGGACGATAGAACACCGTGTGTTTGTGTATGACTGAGAAAACAGTCGTACACAAAGGGGATCGCTCAGTTGTTCACGTCTGATGGGAATATGTTTCTGCAACCTTGCATATGATGGAAACATGTGTGTGGTTTCAACAGGATGGGGCGACTGCCCACATAGCTAGAACATAAATTGATGTTATTTGTCATCTCTTCCCTGATCGCCTCATTTCCAGGTTGGGTGACATTCATTGGCCTCCTCATTTGCCTGACCTATCCACATTCAATTATTTCTTATAGGGATACCTCAAGGCATGTGTATATGGGCATAAGCCCTGTTCTCTGCAAGCACTGAAGAAAGCTATTTGCATGGAAGTTGCCAAAATCACCCCCAGAAATGTATCACTGATAACAGACACCAAATGGAAGATGTTTTCCAGACTTTATTCCGTAAAATGCTAGTTTAATACAAACTCACATCTTCCAACAAATATCTTTTGTGGTAACAATTACAGATGTGAGTTTTTAAAAAACATCCATACTTTCTTCTTCACTGTATATAACAGCTGGAAAGTAAAAGATACAGTTTATACATAGTTTCTAATGGTATTATTAAACAAATTTATTTGTTGCATTATTGTTTACAAACACTTAATGAGGTCACCAACCTCATTATGTGTTTTGAACTTATTTATAAACTTATTATTCATAACTGAAATTTATAATGTTTGTATCATGCTAAAAATATGGAATGATACTGAAACATGCAACATACTCTATTTTATCTATCATTTGGAAAAATTTTTTAGAATTATTTGAAAGGATTGGAAACAAGTTAAAATTTTTCCCACAAAGATAATAGAAAACTTTCCAACATTTTAACTGTTTTTAGAAATACATTAAAAAATGGGATAAGCAATATTCATAACTATTGAAATACCTCTCTTTTTATTGCATGAAGTTCTACAAAATATTAACAAGTTAA